TGGCGAAGCATCAACATCGACGGCACGGCCAAATCGCTTCGGAAAGAAGACAATGCTTTGCATTTGGTGGGACCAGAAAGGAATCGTGTACTATGAGCTGCTGAAACCGGGCGAAACTGTCAATGGGGATCGCTATCGACAACAATTGATAAATTTGAACCATGCATTGCTCGAAAAACGGCCAGAATGGGACACGAGACACGAACGAGTGATATTGCAGCACGACAACGCTCCGTGCCATCGCACTTCCATCGTCCAGGACACCATCAAAACGCTGAAATGGGATCTGCTACCGCACCCGCCGTATTCACCAGACCTGGCCCCTTCCGATTATCACTTGTTCCGGTCGATGGCGCATGGCTTGGCTGGGCTACACTTGGCCAATTTCGAAGAAGTGCGAAACTGGTTGGATGAATGGTTTCGATTCAAAGACGCATCGTTTTATCGTCGCGGTATTCATGTATTGCCAGAGAGATGGCAAAAATGTGTAGCTAGCGAGGGACGATACTTTGAATAAATCGTTTTTTGTATTTCTCTTGAAATTTTCCATTTTGCATTGATAAAAAAACCCGGAAACTTAGTTGCGCACCTAGTATAACAGCAAATACATTTATACTTAATGCAAGGTACTGTCTCTTGATACTAATACGTGTTATAAATGTTCAATTTGTAATTTTTAATATTGCAATGACTCGTCGTTTATCAGATTTACCGAGACAACACGAACGTCTAAAAATATCTAAATAAATAAATTTAGAAAATTTTTTTTAATTTTAAATACTACCTCTATGTAATACCTCTAGTTTTTTTTTTCCATACTAATTTTATCCAAGGACGGTGACGGAATGTTGTTCGAATAAAATACTAGATTGTAAGTCAAGTCATAGATGACATTGATTATTTAATCGATGGTATAAATTCTTTTTCCGATGCCCGAAGTTTAAAAATAATTTGCATGTCTCAGCCAGGCGGTTCCAAACGCCTTCGGTTTTATCACATACATGCAATCTACAAGAAATCAGCTTTGTATAGTGTTGAACACTAAGAAAGATAGTTGTTAAAACAGTGTTAAGAACATAACTAATATAAATTCCCGACAATATTTCAACAGCAGCAGATTAATTCTGTATACGATACGTTATCCGTGGACTTCCGTATTTTTTTATTACGTATTCTCGGATTAAATATAGAGTGTTTATAAAACCTGATAATATGTTATCGTGCTTGAAATTCTCTTGAATATTTATTTTTTTTTTACTCAATACCAATTTGTATTATTTTTTTACTCAATATTAATTATTACTAATCATTTTTTTGTAATAATAGACTGAATTTTTAATAAGCCTTCAAATATGATCTGCATTGCATTTGTTGGGCGTTAATTCATATTAGTTTTATATATTCATACTAATAATATGGACATATTTACGTATTAATGTCCATATTATTTCTCTTTAGCGATGTCGTTGCTCTTCGATACGTCTTCGTATTTTTTAATATAATTTACGTGAGATTGTCGAATAAAAATAAAGTGCAAGATTTTTATCATATTAATCTAATGAATATGCGTATCCTTCAACTTTGTGTTAATGGCGTTGTAAGAACACTGTAATTTATATATATAAAATATGTTAAATGTTATCATAATATATTGTTTCTGCATAGTATAAATTTCAATTTGTACGATTATTATCTTTATGTGATGATAATTAAAGATCTTGCATAAAGAAAAGTTAATTTTGTCATAGGAAATATTAATATTTCTTGCTTTGCATCGTTTTAACTTTTATGAATCAAGATATGTCATATTCATGTATGACAAACTCCCTTAGGATGTTCCTTCCTTAGGATTCTCGAAAATTAAGATGCACATGAAAATTTATCATCCAACAATTTTGTATTCAAACGCATACCTTTCATAAATTATCCTGATAAAATATTTTTTATCTGTCATTTGACGCTCTCTGCGCATAAATTTATCCTTTCGACAAAATATAAGAAACGGATAAAAAAGTTTGGGAAGTATTAAGCAGTGGTATCACACTGTAAAATGACTAAGGATTATTGTATGTACTTAATATTAGGGAATCCACCATATAGCTGAAAAATAGAAAAAGAATTATCAAAGAATATAAGCGATTTCTATAAAATAGGAACAAGTATATTTCACATGTTAACTCGTAAAAAAATATGTTGCGGTTTCAATATAACAAATATTAATCATAAAGATTAAAATACTATACGGTTACAAGCTATATCATTTTGTATTTATAAAATTAATTCTAGAATTGGATGCAGTAATGAAATGATGTTAATTCATTTTCTGTCGTTAAGTGTGAAAAAATAAATAAAAAATAAAAATTGTTCTTTCTCTCAATTAATTCCTATTTTATAAACTTTAATCATTTATTTTTCTCAAAATTTTCGAAAATATTTTCAAAATTGCGTAAAGTTATTTATGTTATTACTACATCCAATTATAAATTACAGAATTATTAGTTTATCTGCTCTATCACTATCCTTTGTACTTGCACTCTTACTATCATGACTAGCAAGAGCCTTTGGTTTATAAAATATTAAACATTAAATAATGAGCAAGTTATTATTGATTTTGTCTTGCAATTCGATTTGCATGTATCTGAAAATAAAATTTTGTCGTTATATAATAGAAATAGAAGATTCTCTCAAAATGTAAAGTTGATACTATTAAACGATTACGTTCATTAGTAACATATCAATGGTTCAAAACATAAATATTACATATAGATACGAATAACCCAATTAAAATGTGATAAATTGAAAAATAAATTATAATTTGAAGTTAGCATAAAACGATCTTATGCTAAATAAACCTAAATTGTTTAGCATACTCAAAGCTCCATGTTTTCTATGTAATATTTATACTTCAAAAAAAAATCATTGATATGTACATTGATATGTACATTTATTTTATAGATATAGATTATATGTATACCGGTACTGCATTGGCATTAGCAATATCTTCATGAGGGCCTCTAGTTTTGGGTGGTAGCTTCGGCAAAAGAGACTCAACATTTATATCAATGTTAGGATTCTTCTCTTTAATGTGTTTCATCGTTTCCTGACAAACTTTAATAACAGATTCGGCATTCATGCGACGATCATCGCTCCATAATGGGCAGCTATATTAAAAACCATAATATAATGTTAACTAAATTGTACAAAAAAAGAATCAAAGTACATATTATTAAAACTTACAGGTTTGAGGCCATTGCTCCTTGACCTTGAAAATGGTCATAACCTTTTACAGGTTTATCGCAAATGTAACACATGAGTGCACCACATATACAGGTCATTTTATTGCACCCATCTTCTTTGAAAAATGTTCGCCCACAGTTATAGCATTTCCGTACTAAAGCTTCCGTCATCTTTTCTTCCAAGTACAAACGTGCAACATCTGTTTTGATTTCATCGCACTTCAAAGGTACATGATTAGGCTCCTTGCACAATCTGATAACAAAATAATCTATTAGCGTAAAATTTCATATCTATTTTTAAATATTTGTGTGTGCTGAATCATCAAGCTCTTTAAACGCAGTATTACAAATAAAATAAATTCAACATTGTATTCGAATAAAAATAAAAATATTCCTTCAGCCAAATTTGCATTAAAAGAAGAAGAAAAGCATTCTGTAAGATAAGCATGTACATTATATTTTAAAATCAATATTTTATAAATTCTTTATATTTGCGTTCTCTGAGAATCCTACAAAATTTGAGAAAATTCAGTGGCAAATGATAATAATAATGATTCGGAGATTTTATACGTACCGACATGATTCCTTCATGCAATCTGGGTTAAGACATTTGAATACTTTATCCTCGGGAGGTGGTATAGATGCAAAATGGCAGAATGGGCATGATACTAAACCTTCCACACCAGCAGCCATTACCTCTGCTTCTTGCCGTTTGCAAAGAAGAATGCTAAATTTGGTTGGTGGTAGTATTCGCTGTAGTATTGACAAAGAAAATTCTCGGCCGCAATTCATTAAACAAAGAACATGCGTTTTGCCATCCGCCAATGTCACGTCTGTACTTCTCATAATGCATGAGTTGCAAAATACATGCCCATCCTCACATGTGGAACATTTTGATGGCATACACTCGTTATCATAGCAACACTGACATTCGAGCAGTCCATTGGTTGCCTAAAAGAAAAAATAATAAAAAATAACTTATCTAAAAATGTTTTGTTTTTCCATTAAAATCTATACCTTAAGCTTATTAAATTCTTCCTTTTCTTCTGCCTTCAATTTATCCAAATAATCCTGAATTTCTCCTTTATGCTGTATGAAAGCAATCTCTTGCAGAAGGGGTATGTTTTCCGTTGGCATAATTTTGCTACAGCGTTTAGTTTTCATATTGGGGGTTAGAGTTTCTAAAGCTTTCACAGTTGCACTTAAGTTGTATCCATTCCGACTATAAAAACTCAGCATTGTATTCACCTGCAAAAAATATGACACAATTTATATAGATATAGTGGTAAGAGGATCTCAAGCCCAAGTAGATCTTATTCT